AATTTAAAAAATAGCCTCCAATGCCTTGTACGAAGGGACGATTAATAAAGAAATAAACCAGCAACGCTTGCTAGTTTTAGCTGAAAGTATGCACGCACTTCACGGTGATACAACAAACGAAATCAACAAACAGAGAAGACTCCATGATAATATTAAAAACATTTCTGAACTATAATAGAATTGATGGCGATGCTATATAATCGAAAAACACGTCCCAATCGTCATTTGCATTCTGTAAGAATTATTATTTTAATTAAACGGTATATTTTAGTTTTCTTGAATATCATTTCTTTTCGCAGAGCAGATTTTATAAGTAATTCGATAACATCAAGTCGGTGTACAGGATTTTTAGATGCAATAAGTTTCCACTGCTCGCTCATGGTTATACAATTCGTCGCCGCTTTGCACTCCGATTTTCAGGCTTAGACTCACTCTCGTTTGTGGTGCTTACAAGGTTACGGTCTTTAGCATCATCTTCATCATCTTTATTTGCCTTAGAGACAACTGAAGGCAATTTAGGCGTTCGCAAATTTAGCCAAGTTGACATTAGTTTGTTCATAGTTAGCTTCTCAGATTGTATTAATTCAATGGGCTTATTACACAGATTGCTCTTATTGCGGGCATTATTAACTAAATTGGCAACCCGGTGTTTTTCGAGCGCACTCACCGGTTGGCGCAAGGCGGCTAAAGCTTCTTCATTCGAGATATTTTTAAAATCTAACCAAGCCTAGTGAAGACATGACAACTTATTAAAGTGGATAAAACAAGAAAATGTCCTCACCTCCTTACAGCTAACCTACTAAATTTCCTTTAGCATTTTTTTTATGTAATAAATAATAAAAAATACATTTCCATACGTATATATGCAGAACAGTGGCAAGGAGGTAAGCAAAATTTTCTTGTATTCACTTCCATATATGTAATAATGGACATATATGTTGTTTAAAGCTTAAATTACCGTTATCTGTTGTTCAGTCTCCAATATAGCGGGCATACGATGATGCAACCATGACATGATTTCATTAGACTCGTATGTTATTACGCTGTAACTATAAATTTTATCACCTTGTTCATCTTGCCACACATCAAATACCCCAGCCATTTTCATAAGATTAATGTCCTCTGGTGCCCAAGTATTCCGATCATGTATTATTGCTTTTTCTTTCTGCGGCATATAAAACAGATAAACTGCTCGATCCGGGGATTTTGTTTGCCATTCATAAAAACCTTCACAAAGTACAACACAACGCTGGCCTCTTTTAAATGCGTTGTTATAAAGTTTAGATTCCCTCATGCGTTCTAAGCGACAATTATTTGTGGTCAGCTTGTGCTTGCTATAATCACCTTTATGCCAGAATGGAATGAGACCCCATAGCATTGGTATTAGCAAACGATGATGGCCGCTTTCTGTTTTCGAATCGCCTTCATCGCAGAAATGGTCGCGTGAAATTAATACAGGAGTAACATCATTGGGTGCTATATTAAAAGAAGGTATGTACTTCCGCCCACAATTGAATTCTGATCGCCAATCTGGTTGAATATACTGTCCCTTATCACAACCACAACATTCTTTTCGATCATTCAGATCTTCGCTTTTATTGCCATTTTGATTAATTGGCGATTTTCGAAATTTACTTGTTTTATACCTGCAGGCCTTTAATATTTCATTTGGTTCTAATGTCCTAAAAAATGCAACAATTGAAACCAATACCGAGCAACTGTAATAGATAGAAACTTACAAACAGGTGCGACCGCACATAACTTTTTTTATCAAAGAATTTTACGCAGCCAGTAAGTAAGGCGTCGTAAGTTCATATAGAGTAAATAAAAAGGAAAGACAAATAATTTTATATCAAAAATATGAACAAGACCCTTCCATTTACGATTTCTTTTACGGTTGCAATTAAGATCACTGCAAACCCTTTTGAGATAATTACAAGCTTCGTGCTCACTTTTTATGCGTCTCCACTTTTCCTATTGCCTTGTTTTGTTTTGTTTTCAATCGCTATATATCGTCTATACACATCAAATGTCTCAAATATCCCAATTGCCAAGCTGATTCATAAAAGGTAAAAGCAGAAAAAAATGAAAAAAATGTATTACCAAACATTCTTTCTCTAATACTAATTTACTTGTTTATATCAATGCGTGCTGGCAAACTTAAATTTGAAATTTAAATTATGCTTGATAAAAATTGTTCTTCAGTTCTTCACTCGTTTTCTTCAAATTAACTTTTTTTCCAGTGCACCTAACCTCTCTCTTATTACGTTAGCATACAACTTTATTATTCTCGGCATTTATTTTGGCTCTCGATAAGAAATGTACCGTAAAGTAAATTTTACGCTCAGAATAGAATTTTACTCTTTAAATGATGAACGCCAGCTTTTTGTACCCCATATGAGAGTAATAAATGAGCGAGCTTGAATTTGGTGCCATATGAGTGCAAGAATTCAATGGTAATTATACATTGAGATTTGATAAATATTTGTTTGGTGTTGCCATACAAATTTAGTTTTAATTTTAACAGGATCCGCCTGAGTAGCCGAAGGCGAGGAAGTCATTGGTCGTGGGTTCGAATCTCAAGTGCGGTAGAGTTTTTAATGAAAGCCGATAGCCTTAGATGCTAGTGCCTTTAAGACTTTAGTCTTAGAATTTATTTCTCTGGCGAAATTAATAATAATAATAATAACAATAATAATAATAAAATTTTAACAGGAACCCGTCTGGTGATACGATATTTTGAACAACGCTATCTCAGAACTATGAACATATTAGTCCAGACTCTTTGCTTACTCGGCCACTCAAGCAAATCTAAAAGAATTTATTTAATGCTGCTTGCAATTATCATTATACAAATTCCATTTAGGCACAGTTAGGAGCCAATCAAGTTTGTTAAGCGCAAAAATCAATGTGTCGAAATTAAACCAGACAACAAACTAGCGGCACCCTCTACCTCAGCAAAATTAGTGTTAAATCCTCAACTTTTGGTTTTTGCTAATTCCACCGTTTTGTTTTTTGTGTAATACTGTTGCAATGTATTTGAACTTCGAATTTTGTTACTTTAGAGAGTAAGTAAACGAGCGAACTTCGAATTTTGTTACTTTAGAGAGTAAGTAAATGAGCGACCATTTGTTAGAATGTAAATATTGGAAATATTTATTCTCTTTTCTCCGCATCAAGGCTATTAGAAATATCCCTCTCGGAAATAAAATGGATTGAAATATCCAATAAATTGTTCCTTTTCATTCATAAATTTTGTGAGGAAACATTAGGGTTATCTATTTTATTTTCTACTATTCGCACACATGGTAATGATTATTTTCAAAGATTTAATGTTTTATAATTTATTATATTTCATAACGAACGGTCGCGCAGCCGCTTAAGCCCATTTCTTCTTACGGTTTTTCACACCACCCTTGGGGTATCGTTATAGGCGCGTTGCCAAATGTTTTGAATGGCTAGCTCCCCTGTAGGCCTACACCATAATAAACTACACATAAAACTATCACAATATTTACAATAATAATAATAAATAAATATAAGCCCCGTTTATATGTAATATACGCACATAATAGGTAAATACATAAAAAGTACATATAGACACATCAGGATCGCTGCTGTGCCGGTGTGCTAATATCTGCAAAAGAATAAATAGGCGGCCTATGGAAGTATCGCATTCCGCTGAAGCGACGAATGGAGGCGTATACCTGCTTTTTCATCTAAAACGAAATAAAAGGAAACGAATAATTTATAAATTATAATAAGTAAAGATAAACACAAACTTACCAATAGCATACAGCGAATCTTACATTATCAATTTTGGTTTAATCAAGAATTCCAGATCGAAAGCATATAAAATCTTATTAAACAGTCTTAAACAGTCTTGAACAGCCTTGTAAACAGTCTTAAACAGTTGTAAACAGTTGTAAACACTTTGAAGAAATAGCGAAATTCCAGATCGAAAGCATATAAAGTCTTAAACAGAAAGAAATATGGGGTTGCATGTCAAGACTGTCGTCTGCGGCCGATCCCCCGTTAGCAAAGTAATACTCGGAGAAAAATTCGCCAACAGCGTGTACAAAAGAGAGCGGGCAAACGGCAGCACCCACTTAATTCGCCTATTATATGACTAGCACCATTTAGCAAAAGCGCTACTAAGTAAGTAAAGGAGGAAAAAAAAAGCAAGTACGATGTAAAACTGCTTATGAGGCTGACGGAAATGAAGGCGGCCAGCTCACCATTCTGGGAGCAGACTAGTTGTATGCCGTCGTATAGCGCGCCACGATTATACAATTACTGAGTAATACACGGGTCGCGACGTTTCAGGCGGTTATAAAGAGTAAGGAGATCGACAACTCCGACGGCAAGGCGCAAAAAACATGCGACCTAATCTTGGCACTGACTGAGTTCACCAACGTCCTGCACCGGAGCTCCATTAATAGCAGATCGTGGGTGCAGCTCAAATCTAAACTCCATTTTCGAAATTAATTAAACTTTTATTTTCAAATTCTTTACACTTATTTAATTTATTAAATGCAATAATAATTTTCAATACATTAAATTTTTTTTTAATTTTATAATTTTTTGTTTTTTTTTTATTTTAGTCTTATGTAAATGTTTCATAAAGTACTTCTCCTAATTTTTAGACTTTTTTATATTTTTAAAATTTTTTTTCGCAACTGTTCGCTTCGTAAAACTTCTTTCTGCACTTATAAAAATGCTTTTCTTTCCACATAAAACCGTTGCCTCATTGTTCAAAAAAAAATATCGTGTGCGCAGAATGGAGAGAGCACAGAGTTGCTTTCAATAAATTGCAACGGCTTGGTTTAGGCTTGTGAAAACAGTGGCTTTTTAAAACACTAAATAATTAAACAATATTTTTTTTTT